TTTTTTTTTCTTTTTTTTTTTTTCTCTCTCTCTCTCTCTCTCTCCCTCTCTCTCTCTCGCACACATACACATTCACACGCGCACACGCTCTCTCACACTGTCTAGCACTCTCCCACGCTCTTGTACACACGCACACTGACACCCTCCCACGCCCACACTCTCACGCACATGTGAGTGTGTGTGTCTCTCTTGAATGCCTGGGAGGCGCTCGCATCACCTCCGCATCCCATGTCCTCCCTGGCTTTATTCCATCCCGTCGAGAGGCCAGCCCCGCGCGCATCTGCACGTGCTCGGGCGGACCTCCACGGAGGGGGCAACAAACCGAGGGGCGGGGAAGTAACCGGAGCGCGCAACAGTTGACCCCGGCGCGCCCTTGAGGCGCCCACGGGCGGCCACCCCTCGCCAAACAAGTTCTTGACAAAGCGCGCCCTTCACCCCTCCTCTGTTCCCAAGCATCCTGCGGTGCTCGGGCTTCGCTTTGAATCCGCAGCGTCTCGCGTCACTCCCGCCCCTCCCCCTCCTCCTCCTCCTTCTCCTCCTCCTCCTCCTCCTCCTCCTCCTCCGCCTCCTCCTCCTCCTCCCCCTCCTCTCCCGCGCCTCTGCTTCGGCACACCCCGGCGCGCTCCGTGGCCCCACAGCGAGCTCCATCGCAGGCTCCCGTGGCAGGGCTCACGGGCGTCCCCCTGCCTATTTCGGCACGACCCCCCATACATGTCGTGACCCCGGGTGAAGCTCCACCGACGGCTCTTGTGGCAGGGATCGCGTGCGCCCCCACCCCCGCCCATTCCGGTGCACCCCTGACATGCTTCGTGGCCCGACAGGGAGCTCCACCGAAGGCTCCTGTGGCAGGGTTCGCATGCATCCATGTCGGCACACCCCTCACACGTTTCTTTGCCCCACCGGGAGCTCCACCGAAGGCTCGTGTGGCAGTGTTCGCATGCGCCCCCCCACCCATTTCGGTGACCCTCTCACGCGCTTCGTGGCCCCGCAGGGAGCTCTACCGACGGCTCTTGTGGCAGGGTCTACATGTGACCCCCGCTATTTTCGGCACACTCCTCATACGTTTCGTGGACCCACAGGGAGCTCCACCGACGGTTCTTGTGGCAGGGATCGCATGCCCCCCCCCCTGCCCATTTCGGTGCACGCCTCACACGTTTCGTGGCCCCGCAGGACGCTCCACCGAAGGGGTTCGCATGCGGCCCGTGCTCATGTCGGTGCACCTCTCGCACGTTTCGTGGCCCCGCAGGGAGCTCCACAGAGGGCTCTTGTGGCAGGGTCTACATGCGTCCCCCCGCGACCAATTTCGGCACACTCCTCATGCGTTTCGTGTCCCCACAGGGAGCTCCACAGAGGGCTCTTGCATACTTTCAGGTCCGCGCAGGTACGGGTCATGGTCTGGGCGCCCGCTGGCGCATGCCCAGAGGTGGCACGGGGCAGAGCCCCGGGATCTTCAGGACCTGGTTCGACTACGCTCGGGGGCGGAAGAGAGGGGGGTGAGGACTAGGGGGGGGTGGATATCATGGCGGGGGCCATGATATTTCCCCAGATTTCATGGCGCCTCTTCTTGTTTCGTTACGTCCCTGGCCCCCCCGCTGGGCCGCGCACATGCCGCCTGTCATGATTTGCACCCCCCCTCTTAGACACCCCCCTCTTGGCCGCTCCCGATACGCGTAAGCGCGACCATTCGCCCGAGTGAGTGGCCTTTGGTGTGGTGTGGGCCCACCGAGGTCCTCCGATCGTCGAGCACGATGCGATGGCAGCGTCTCGCGCGCTCGTGTTTGGCCCCCCCCCCCCCCCCCCCCGCGGCCCCTCCTCCCTCCTCCCTCCTCCCTCCTCCCTCCTCCCTCCTACCTCCTCCCTCCTCCCTCCTCCCTCCCCCTTTTTTTTACCAGCAACGCCACTGCCTCAAGGGTGCATTGATGAAGAAGTCCAGGACGATAAGCACCGAGGTGAAATAGCCCAGACCAACCACATAATGCTGCGTGGGAGGCACCACGATCACCAAAGGCCACCAGACCGAGCACTGAACACAGACCACCAGTCTCCAGAATTACCTCGCCCCGACCAGTATGAAAACGCCCAGCAACACTAGGAATGACTTGAACGTGGAGGCCAGCTGCGTACTGACGGAATACCGACAACGCTATCACTCCATTCCCACGAAAAAATGCCAGACGACCAGACTCCGTGATAGAAAGGCGCAGCCAACCTGACCAAGAAAGGAATACAAAGAATAGAGGCCAGAGACAGAACACGCTGAATGAGCCGTGTGTACCTCCAGAAACGCCGCCGCCTCGGGAGGGAACGCACCGTCGGAGAGTGAAATGTCAGTCCCATATGTCAAGCTCTGCAGAGTCCCAATCGACTGAATCAGCAGAAAGACAATCGTCAAGACCGAAACCACCAGGACAAAGCTCGACACGACCTCCTCCGAAAACGGGGCGAGGGCAGAAGAGGAGACCCTCCCCAGGATCCGCTGGAAGATCTCTCGGGACCCAAGCTGAGGTCGCAAGACCCGCGTGGGCGTTCCTAAGCGGCTGGACCTCTGAATCCCCGAGCTGCTCCGCCTCGAACGCGGGCTGCGGCCCCGCCTGCAGGCTCTCTGGTACGGCAGCCGCAGCCGCCGCCGAAAGCCCCGTGCCACCCTCAGAGCCGTCAACCGCGGGGGGGACACCCCAACGGTTGGAAACCGAACAGGCCGCATCTCGACGCTCTCCGAGAAGCTCTGCACGTTGGGCGTGCTGGGGGCGGGACCGCGAGTAACCTGCTGCGCCACCGACTGGCGATCAGCCAGCCTCCAGCCCGCCTCGACGCCCTGCACGAACGCCAGAGCTGCGGCATGGACGTCGCGATGCGCCTCGCCCTCGTGCTGCTTGTGAGGGTCGCACTTCTCCCACACTCGGGGCGCCAGCAGCTAGGCCGGCGGTGGCGCAGCCACGGGGCCAGCACGCAGGCCAGGGGCGGCAGCGCCCTGGGCTGCCCACCCGAGCCTGGGCCCCGCCGCCGCCTCGGCCAGCGCCGCGCCGGAGGCAGCAGCGAAACCCGCCGGTGGGGCCACGGCCGCGTGCCACGCCGCGTGCCGCCGGTTGCGCACCCCTCCCGGGATGCGCCGCCCTGCCGCGGCAAGGCGGAGGGGCCGGGCCGCGGCTTCGCGGTCCTGCCACGAGCCTGGGCACCAGCCTCCGCAGGGGCGCCGGGCGGCAGCTGCCTCACAGGCCGCCTGCGCACGCCGCCTCGCCGCCCTCTGGGCCGCCGAAGGGCCCAGCTGCAAGGTGTCCGCCGCCTGGAGCGATCTCGGCCGCCACTCCGCGGGGCAGCCTCCCGTCGCCATCAGCGCGCGCGGAGCGAAGGGCCGTCCAGCTGGCTTTCGCCAAAGGCCGACCCTTGAACCAGCGCGCGCGAGGCATGAGCCAAAATGGCTACGGAGATCTCCTCCCTCCCGCCTCCTCCCCCCTCCCCCTTCCCCCCTCCCTCCTCCCTCCTCCCCCCTCCCCCTTCCCCCCTCCCCCCCGAAGCCGCGCACCAAAGGGCACTCTTACCCAGGGTCACTCCTGCATCCCCTCTCTTCTTCCTCGTTTGCCTCGGTGCTGCCGTCCGCCCCTCCCTCTTCCTCTTCTCGTTCCTTCCGCCTCCTGTGCTTCGGCCGTGCGGTCGGACCGAGGCATACGGTCGAGGTCGGCTCGGGGAGGGTACCCCAGTGCTTCTCGTGTCTGTTGGATGCTCTTGTGCATCCTAGGGAGGGTACCCTGGGATGTTCTCTTTGTTTTTGGCCGGTGGAGGGTCTCATGTTCTTGAAGGATGTTATTCTGGCCTAGGTCCGACTGCAGTTCATGGATCGCGTGCCCTGCTCTCCGTTCACCGCGGAGCCGTGACCGCCCGCGCCGCCGCTGGCAGAGAGCCAAGAGAAGGATATGCCGATGCCAGTGCCCAATGTCCATCTACCGCTTTCGCCTCTCTGGGCCTCCCGAAGGATCGGCGTGGCCACGGCTGGCTTCGCTGCGGAATCCAGGCCAGAACGCACCCTGTGAGAGGTCTGGGGATGCGCGTTATGGATAGCTTTTTGGTAATCCCAGAGGGTCCCTTCTCTTAATTCCTGGTTGGGACAGCGGTCAGGCCACACCCACTGAAAGCTGTAAGCCAGTGAGACCAAACACGAGAGTCGTGATAGCTTAAATGAGCGAATGTTGCCCGGCAGGGCTGTTTCATCTCTTGCAGTGGAAATGTTGTGCTGTTACCGCCTCATCTTCCTCACTTGTGAGTCGTTGCGTGTCGGAAGAGTGCAATGTGATTGCCCTGGGTGTTTACATGAAGCCACAGACACCCCTACGAAACTGTTTCGCAGGTGATTTCCCTGGCAGACTGCCTCAGGGGTGGCTCGCGCCAGGTTGGCTTACCTGCTTGCCTACGATATAGTGATTGCCATCATACTTACCATCCGTTGCTTATTCATGCAGTTTCCCAGCCGGGATCCCGCCCAGCGTATGACATCCACCCCGCTCTCTCTCTTTAGGCACTGTCTGACACTGTCTCTTTCCGTAGCGCAGGAATCCAGGCAGCCTGCTGTGCCGCCTCGTCACCCTCCTCTTCCTCATGCTCGTCCTCTTCCTCCTCCTCCCTTCCCTTGCCATCGCCCTCCTCCGCTGCCTTACACACGTCCTCCCTCCCCCGCTGCCTCGCCGTTCGTTCTCTTAGCTCCTCCTCACTCCCTCCCTCGCCCTCGGCCTCCGCCTCTTCTCCCATGCCTCCTCCCTCCCCTCCTGCCTCGCCTCCTGGTCCTCTTCGGCCTCCTTCCTCAGCTCCGCCCTCCCCCTCTCTCCTCCCATCCTGCCTCGCCTCCGTCCTCCTCACCTCTCACCCTCCTCCTTCGCCCCTCCCCCCCTCCCGCTCCCCTCCCATGCCTTACGTCCTCCCTACATTCCGCGCAGCCTGTAGCCCAGTGACCTCCCCCCATCGCGAGCCCCGCCCTCCCTGCCACCCTCCTCCCACGAGGGCCTCGGTCGAAGACGTTTGGGCTCAGATATCCTCCCCTCCTCCTGCCCGAGCCGCCCCTGCAGTGGGCTCGGCCCCGTCGAGTCATGCAGGCGCCGTTGTTCAACCGGTCGCTGCCCACGGAGGGCAGCACGGGCATGCTCAGCGACATTCGGGACACGCCCGAGGTCATGAAGAGCATCAAACCGCAAATCAGAAGCAATAAAGCACGTGATAATATACAGCACCAAAATGCCCGAGCTCATGAAGAGCAGAAGCAAAACACATACATCATAAACCACAAAACACAGGATAGTACACAGCATCAAACATGCCCGAGGTCATTAAGAGGGTGCTGGCCACCTACCTCAAGGCCCCGCCGAGCGGCGAGGGCAGCGCCGACTTCCCCAGCCTCAGGCTCAGATGAGGAGAACAAAAAGCCTCAGGCTCAGAGGAGGAGAAGAGACCATGCGGATACCTGGCGCCCTCCCTCCGAGAGCTCCCGGCGCCACGGCAGGACTCGCCTCGGAATCCTGTTCCAGAGCGCGCCGCAGGAGTCGGAGGAGGAAAGGGCCACCCTCCGCCAGTTTTCCCCTTGTTTGGCCTCCTGGGAGGCCACCGTCGCCGCCGCTGGATTCGCCTCGAAGTTCTGGTCAGAACGCACCCCGAGGAAGGTCCTGGGAGTAGCGGTATCGGTACCTCTTGGTCTCCCCGGGAAGACGCCCCGTGGGCCGTCGGTATCATTCTCGTTACTGCTTCCCCACAGGCAGCCCCTGCCGGAGGGCCACGGGCTCGCAGGCCGCACGCCGATGGAGGTGATGGCGGCCTGTAACCCCCCGGAGGGAGGCTCCTTCAACAACAAGTTCGTCATCATAGGCTCCTCCTCCTCCTCCTCCTCGTCCTGGGTGAGGAAGAAAGTGGCTTTCAAGTGCAACCGCTTTCTCTTTTTCGGGCCGGGCGCCAGGGAGGGATTGGGAAAGGGGGGGTTACGAAATTTGCTGCATGCAGCTGGTTTCGGCCTCACCGAGGGGCCCATTCCTCGATACATGCCGCCTCCGGCGCCGGGAGGCGCCGGGAAAATCAGCTACGTGAGCTGATTCTCAAGCCCCCCCTTTGCTATCCCCCCCTTTCGCCCGACCCGACTTTTGCGCCGTGCCTCCCCAAACTCCCATCGTCTCCCTCCCAAAAAGAGTTCGTCATAACACAGGCTGCGGCACGTCCAACCACGCAGCGCTCGTTGCGGAGTACCTGATAGAGCACATTTTACCAGCCTGGAACGTATCCCTATCCCTATGCTGGGCACCTCCTCATCACGACGCCAATCTTAGGGATTCCCGTATTTTTTGAGGGCGAATCCCGAAGATTGCCATCGTCTTTTGGCGTGTCAATCTTAGGGATAGGGATACGTTCGAGGCTGGTAAACATCGCCCGGATCCCGGTCGAAGTGCAGTATGCGTCAGAGTACAGATATCGCAAGCCCCTCGTGCGTCCCGGCGACGTGCTCTTCGTGGTCTCCAACTCTGGCGAGACGTCTGACGCGGTGGAGAGCCTGAGATTGGTCAGGAAGTGCACGAACGGCCAGAAGGTGCTCATCATCGGGGTCGTCAACGAGGCTGACTCCACCATTGCGAAGGAGAGCGACGCCTTCATCAGCGTTCTGGCCGGCAAGGAGATGGGCGTCGCATCTACCAAGGTGTTCTCGTCCACCATCCTCACATTCACGCTGCTGGCCATTGCCCTCGGCGAGTGCACGAAAAACTTCACGGAGGCACATAAAACGGCGCTGCTCGAGGCGGTGCGCGCGTTGCCTGGCTCCGTGCAGGAGGTGCTCGACCGGGATACCAAGATTTTCAAGAGCCATGAGAGCAGGCTGGAGATCGGCGAGTGCGTTTTGTGGGACATTGCTTGTCAGAACGTGCTCGCCAACAATTTCATTTTCCTAGGCCGAGGCTTTTGCTTCCCAGTGGCGCTCGAGGGCGCCATGAAGATCAAGGAAACGGGGGCTCTGAACACAATCTGGTGACAGGTAGTCCAGTTCAGCGACTTCCAACTCAATACTTGCGGTAGGCTTGTGTCGTGTCGACGCGGCGGCGACCCTGGCGCCGGCGTTCAAGGTTCTACGCGGCGACCCTGGCGCCGGCGTTCAAGGCGGGGCACGCCTGGCGCGCCCCGCCTAGCTCTTAACCAGAAGGGGCCCGCTCCCGACCCGCCGACCAACAACAAACAAGTGTGTCGATGATGATCCCGATGTGGCCGAAGCGTTGTCTTTCTATTCCTCGCAGAAAGAAAATCGGTCACGCGTAAGAATGACCTTTCGCCGGAGTGACCTGTAGTGCGGACCCAACGGGGCCTCCCGATCGATCGCCGAGCGCGAAGCGGTAGCAGCGGCTTGCGCACCTGGGTTTGGCCACCCAACGTACCCCGTTAAGTCGCGCACCAAAGGTCACTCTTGCCTAGGGTCAATCTTGCGTGTAGCCGAGAGAAACGGGATAAACATAAGCCGTCGGAGCTCCTCGAGGATTTCTTTGATCTGCGCAGGAGCCGCGCGCCAGGGAGGAGGGTTCAGCGCATTCCATGAAAATCGCTCGGACCTTCAACAGTTTGTGTTTATGCAGTCTGTGTTCTTGCAGTCTTTTCTTACTCCCTTACTTTCGGTGGCCGCTGCGACCAGCCCGTGCCTGTGTGCCGAAGTGGGTACCGCCCTTGCCCCCCCCCCCACTCTGCAGGAGCTTGGCTCACCTGTAGCACGGACTGCTGCGGCCACGGCTCAGCGGCAGAAGCCAACAAGCAGTCTCCCCCCCCGTTCCGGAAGGTCCCAAGACGGTGCGGTGACCACACCGTCGGATAAGCCAATGGGTATCATTCGGGGTGATTGCATGGCTTTGGGCCATGGACTGTTCTCTGGTCTCGGGCGAGCGGAGCCTCCAGGGTCCCAGAGCCTTGCGGCTACTGACCGTGCGGTGAGGCTTCCCCTGAGGTCTCGAGGTCACCGCACGGTCCGTCCCCGCACCGTTTGGGGGCCCCCAAGAAGAGGGGGGTCGCCGACCCCACCGCGCCCTCCCCGAGCCGAGAAGGAAGAGGAGATCGGGCACACGTGAGAGTTTACCAGCCTCGAACGTATCCCTATCCCTAAAATTGACACGCCAAACGGCGATGACAATCTTAGGGATACGCCGTCAAAAAATAAGGGAATCCCTAAGATTGGCATCGTGATGAGGAGGTGCCCAGCATAGGGATAGGGATATGTTCCAGGCTGGTAAAGAGTGGCCCATCGCCAGAGTGACCTCTGGTGTGCGGACTTCAGGGGCGCGGCGGGGCGAAACCCAAGCTCGCAATTCGCCGCAGTCGCATCGCACGCGACCGCCGGCAAGCTTCGCGCCAAAGGCACCAGTGCGTAGGGTCTGCCTGTGGTCCGCTTCTTGCAGACTCACTGTGTGCTCGTCGAGCGGTGAGCTCACTTGTGCGCAGGGAGCCCCGAGGAGCTTGCCTACATCCACGCCGAGGGCTACCCAGCCGCGGAGATGAAGCACGGCCCTATCGCGCTCATCGACCAGTTCATGTCGGTGGTCGTCATAGCTCCTAAGTGCGACCCATCCTACGAGAAGATCAAATCTAACATCGAGGAGACGAAAGCACGCAGCGGCAACATCATCGCCATCACCGAGTACCAGAACGACGACCTGGAAACCCTGTGCCAGCACGTGATCAAGACCCCGCCAGCGCACGAGTATACCATGCCCCTGCTGGCAGTGATAGAGATGCAGCTGCTCGCCTGCATGATGGGCATGCTACGCGGGAACGAGGTGGACCAGCCGCGAGGGCTGCAAAAGACGATCACGGGGCAGGTCCGCTCGTGAGTGCCTCAGGGCGACAGCTCGCGCCGGATACCCTCCCTGAAAGAAACGTTCAAGCGCCCCCCTAACAGACAACTTAAGTCAAACAAGACTGATCTCCTTCCATCTCCTCCATCACCTCCTTCCTCCGCACCCCTCCTCCTCCTCCTCCTCCTCCTCCTCCTCCTCCTCCTCCTCCTCTTTCTCCTCCTCCTCCTCTCATTATCCCTCCTTCTTCTTCTCCTTCTCCTTCTCCTCCGCCTCCTCTTCTTCTATTTACTATTTGTATGCTCCTCCTCCTCCTCCTCCTCCTCCTCCTCCTCCTCCTCCTCCTCCTCCCCCTCATCCTCCTCCTCCCCCTCCGACGGTTGGTTGTGACACGAGGAGGCTGGGCCCACTGTGGGGGCTAGACGCCCCGCTGCCATCACTTCAAGACTCATCTTCTGACGGGCTCCGCCCCCTGGCAGGAGAACGTCCCGCGGGTGAACCTCCGAAAGCCTTCGGCAGTCCTCCGAACGCCCCTGGAAACCTCCGAATACCATTGGAGATCTCCTCCTCCTCCTCCTTGTCCTCCTCCCATTCCCTTCTGGGGGAGCCGCGAGGTCTCAAATGGACCTGCGCTGCCCTGCACTCCGCCGTGCCTCCCAAGAGCTCACGAAGATGGCGACGGTTGCGCAGTTCGCAGCCCCCGAGGGAGCCGCGAGGCCTCAAATCAATCTGCGTTCTCTCACCTCCGCCGTGCCTCCCAGGAGCCTCCGAACTTCCTTTCTCCTCCTCCTCCTCCTCCTCCTCTGCCAGCGCTCGCTCCCCTGGCGGCGAAAAGGCCCGCAGAGGATTCGGCCCAGCGGAGCGGTGCCCACGACGGCGGCGAAAGCCGCGGCGGCGGCGGCGGCGACCACGATGACCCCGTGCAGGCGTGCAGGACTGCGTGGAGTTGCTTGGTGCTTGGTCGCTGGGCTGTCTGCTCCACTGCCAAAAAAGGGGGCGTGCAGGACGACGTGCGAACGAGCAGGCGGAGGGTGCAGAGCCACCGACGCAGCGCGTCAAGCGTTCCCGCGTCTCCGCCTTCCTCCCCACCCGACAGGTTGGGGTCGATAGCCTTTAATAACAGACCTCCCGACCACCCTGCGTACCGCGGCCGCCAGATCCCCAGGCTCTCGAGTATCCCCGAGAGTCCCGCCTCGCGCCCCTCGGCATACCGCGGCCGCCCCATCCCCAGGCTATCGAGTATCCCCGGGAGTCCCGCCTCGCGCCCCTCTGTATACCGCGGCCGCCAGATCCCACGGCCCCCGAGTATTCCGAGTGTCCCGCTCCTCGCTGACAAATCATAGCATGACAGAGCGGGACTATACATTAGCAGAACATAGTACAGCACAACATGATAAGTTATGACAGAACAGCGCATAACACCACACCGCATAACATACTTCACCGAGCATACCATACCATACCATGATATCACACATCCTAACACAATACACCATGACTGAGCTGTGCATACCATCGCACATCATCACCTCACATATCATTACATGACTTGAGAAAGTAAACACACCACAATGCAACATCACATAACTGAACATACCCAGATAGAACATGTCTCGGTCCCACGTAACACGACATAGTATAGCATAGCACAAGCCAGCATACCATTGCATGCTACGACAGATCGGAGCACACACAACATGGCATACGAGAGCATACCAAACCATATGACACACCATAGCGTAGTATACGATGGCAACACACACAGTAGCATGACACATCATCGCAGCACATCTAGCATGGCAGTTAGCATCGCAGCACTGACGCCATACCATAGCATGACAGAGCGCGACATAAGGTGTTGAATCGTAGCAGCACGTCGGATAGCATAACGCCATAAGCTAGGGCACAATGAGTCATATGTAACATGTCATCACACCACGCCTCATACCATACCATATCATAGCAGAGCATACCAACATACACGATGGCATAACGCATCATACCATCACACATCATGGCATACCATACCACACCGTTGCACAGCATCAAACCACGTACCATTACATACCATGTCGAGCCACACCATGATAGAAAGTTGCATGGTACATCTTATCATCGCATAACACTAAACACGTATCATAACGCCACTGCGTATCATTTCATAGAACGTCAGTGCAGGACATAGCAGGACGCACCATAACAACGCATGCGATGGCATCACGGAGCGCTCAGCGCATAGCATACCACCACACATCACAGCTAACACGGGCAGAGCACACCAGACCGTAGCGTAACAGAGCAGAGCATGCCATTTCACACAATGGCATAACACATAATACCATCACCCATAAGCAGAGCATTCCATAACATGACACATGCTTTTATCACACCATATACATGGCATCACAATCTAATCAGACGCGACGTGCGTGCCGAGGTCAGGCTGGCCACAGGAGCAAACAGGCGCAGCAACGAACGATCGGACGACGTACCTATCGTGACAGGCGTCACGGCGTCAAGCCAGCGCGTCGAGAACAAAGCAGGCATAGTATCAGACAGCGTAATATGACACAGTCAGATCATCAGAAGATAACGAATATAACACACCGTAACCATCATACCATAACATCATTGTTGTACTACTGCTACCCCCGCATCAGCGATCTAGACATAATATGATTGGCTATGACTTCATGTAACATATTAGAACGAAGTGAGCTTGCCGTCAACAGCATCTAATATCATAGCGCACCATCACTGGACCTGGCATAAGACACGCATCATGACATAACGTGGTACGACAGAGCAGAACACACCATGTCATATCAAATCATACGATGGCAATGAGTATAACATAGCACACTTTCAGAGCAGAGGAACAAAACTTGAAAAGCAACTTTATAAACTGCTAGGCTGCACCTTAAGATAATCGATGACACAGATGCGCAGCAACGACCGATCGGACGACGCATCTAACGTGACAGGCGTCACGGCGTCACGCCGTCCCGTCGACAACATAACCTATCATATGGTAGCACATCAGGATATAACCTCATCAAGCATAACATCCTTCAGCATTGGTAAACACAGCAACGACCAATCAAGGGCGCACTGGCATCCGCGCCTGGCCACAGGGAAGAACAGGCGCGGCAACGACCGATTTGATGACGTATCAAACGCGACGGGCGTCACGACGTCACGCCGCCCCGTCGAGATCAGAACATAAACAAACATTGTGCATAGAACAGAACAGATCCGAACGCAACGCGATAGAGTATAATGCAGCAGAGACCGAGAACTGGCGGTCTATCACACGCGACATGCGCGCCAAGCCCAGGCTGGCCACAGAAGCGAACAGTTGCAGCAACGACCGATTAGAAGCCATAGCAAGCGTGGAAGGCATCACGACATCACGCGGGCCAGGCCACAACAAAACACAACAATACATATTGTCATATACAGCACTGGGCCATGATCGAACCGGACATAATAAAACACACGATTACGTACACGCCAGCCATCATTTCACGGAGTCTCATCAAACGCGACATGCGCTCCATCGTCCGAGGAAGACGGGGCGTCCGGAACAGGAGGAGGAATGAGAGGTCCTCCTCATTTCCTCCTCCGTCGTCGTCCGCCTCCGCATGCTGCTGCTGCTTCTTCTCTTCCTCTCTCAACAGGCTGCAGATTCTCTCCGAACAAGTTTTGGGGTCTGGCACGACTCGTTTCGGGGGCTGGCATGTCGCTCCAGGGACTTGTTTTGGTTTCTTTTGTCAGGGGCCCTGGGGATTGTTAGACTTTCGGGAAACATCAACTTGCGACCTGGCCCGGCCGCCGCGCTGGCCGACATCGCCGGGCCCCGCGCACATCGTTCCACTGGGCGCGCGCATCGATGAGAACAAACGCCGAAGGTGTCGGTGGAGATCGCTCGAAGCAACGTATATTTTTGAGGGGGCGGGATTCGGGTTCTCTTGCCTGGTCAGCCTCGCGGGGCCCCCCATGGAAAACCCCCTTTGTTCGGTTTGTTTCCCCCGGAATCCCCACTTAGATTGTTCGGAGGGGGTCCTCCCAGAAGAGAGGGCGAATCTCCAGTTGAAGACGTCGGGGGGGGCCCGTTGGTTTCAGCAACTCGTAGGGAGACTGCCGCTCGGAGTATCGTATCGTGGGAAAGCCGTGGAGGTCATGACGTCGGCGCGGCCCCGTTGAGGGGCCCCCTGCGCGGCTCAGGGCGGCCCAGGTGGAGGGGGCCCGCGAGGCCTGCATGGCGGGGCACAGGCTCCGTCATCTTCGGGATGCTGCGGTCCACGGTTTTCGGGGGTCCCAGGGCCTCGAGAGATCCAGGCGCTGCAGTTTCGTCACGCAGGGCGTGTCGTCCGGTCTCGGGCCCTGGGGCCGTCACACTGGTCCCCGCGGGAGGAAATCCGCAGAGTGATGGGGTCTGGGGCTCTGGTCGTGATTCTCCTCGATGATGTATTGTAGAATGGCCTGCGGCCAGTGCCGCCGATCCGGGGGGCTCCGGATTCGGTGATCTTCGCGGCTACGTGCCCTGTCTGGGAGGGGGGGCGCTCTTGGAGTCGTCGGGGACGCTTTGTGGAGCTCACGTGCCCTCTGGGGGGGTGCCTTGAGCGGTCCCGGAAGGGGTCCGGGGAGGATTCCCCAGGGAGGGTCCTGGGGGCGGTAGCGGCTAGATCTGAGGGGGGTCCTTGGGACCCCCCAAAACATTTTGGGGATACGCAAATCAGTGAGACAGCGCCAGATGGGGGACCGGCCCCCCCCCCCCTCCCCCCTTCCCCGGCAGAACCACCCCGGCGAACCCCAAAACATTTTGGGGATGCGCAAATCATTAAGAGAACGTCAGGTGGGGGACCGCCCCTCCCCTCTCCCCCCTTCCCCGGCAGAGCCACCCCAGCGACCCTGGAGGACGCCAGCGTAGCAGTGCCATTCGTTGGAGGGGAGAGACGTGTCTTATTTTCGATATAAGATGTTGGCAATGTTGCGCTTTGGTTTGTAGCTGATGCTGCTGCTAATGGTTGTTGTATCTCTTGCTCTCGCCTTTTCTCTTCTCCCTATCTCCCAAAATATATAGATACACACCCATCCGTCATGGTTTCGCCCCCTGCCGCCAGCCCCCTCTCTCGGATAATGGGGCATGCAATAACTATGTTCTGAGGCCTGAGGCCTGGGAGCCGTCGTGAAGCAGCGTCGGCTCTTGGAGCGCTCTGGGGGGCCTCTTGGGAGCCTCTTGGGCCGTCTTGGGACCATCTTGGGCGCCTTGGAGCACTCTTGGGCCGTCTCGGAGGTCTTGTGTACCATCTTGGGGGCCTCTTTTTACTAAGTACTGTGGCCTGGAAAGCGCGAAGATCGCATACTTCATGAGGGTGTATGACTGGGACGCGACACACATTTTTATTTACGAGGGATCGTGGCTTCGGGGCCGCAGATATCGTGTCGTTTTCGAGTGAGGATTGCCTCGGAGACGCGAGTCTTGTACACTTTACTACTAAGAAGTAATGCCTCGGGAGTGCGAACGCACCATTCTTTGCGAGGGCTCACAGCTCCGGGAAGGCGAGTATTGTGTAATCCAAGAGGAATGATGGTCTCCCGATTGCGAATCTGGTGTAAATTGCGAGGGCTTATGGCCTCGTGGACGCGAGTCTCACGTATTTTGTAGGCGTCCCAGGACCCCCCCAGCTGATGGTAACCAGGGCCCTTTTCGGTTGCCCCCCCCCTCGCGCGTGCTTCAGCAATTCGCAGTAGGACATAGAATGCAGAAGTGTAACACCGGAGGCTGTAAACTTGAACTGGAACAGGGATCAGCAAGCCTAATCCGCGGAGCATAATTGCCCCCCACAGGGGGCTGGCGGATATGTATATGTATGTATATACATATATATATAGAGAGAGAGAGAGAGAGAGAGAGAGAGAGAGAGAGAAAAAAGAAAGAGAGAGAGAGAGATAACAAAACAACAACACTTACAAAAAGAGGGAGGGAGAGAAAGAGAGAGGCCCACCGGCTTGCTCGAGCCGAGTGGAGTGGAGTCCTTCCGCCCCCTCGTCCCCCTCTCGCTCCCCCTCGCGCCGCCCGCCCCGCCTCTTGGCTCAGAAGCGCGGCTTGGCTCGCAATCGCATTCCATACACATATACCTACGTGTCATGGCCCGGGCCCCAGCGACTCCAGCCCTGGGGTGTGGGCGGCCCGCGGGACGGCAGA